AACATAAAAAAACTTACCCAACATTCAACAAAACATAAAAAACTTACCCAACACCCAATAAAAACATAAAAATCTTACCCAACCCCAATAAAAACATAAAAAACTTACCCAACACCCAACAAAAACATAAAAAAACTTACCCAACCACATAAAAACTTACCCAAAAAAACATAAAGAAAACGAACTTTTTTATCCTTTCGTTTTTGCATCATAAGTTTTCCTCTAGTTACGATATAATTAACTATGAAACGAAAGTAGCTTATCATATGTCTATATAAATAGTTTACCTAGAGGTTAGCATGTTGGACTGAGGACCCAAGAGTCTTGACGTACATTTGACATTTGTACTAAGTTTTTGTTTTTCGTTATGCAAACCTTGTTGCCTATCACATGTGCACCTCGTGTTACATTTCTATATTACTAAGTACTAAAACAAAACAAAACAAAACATGAACTGCCGTTGGGGTGGGGAAAACAAAACATAAACGAAACTATATTTCTTTGATAAAAATCACTGAATAAAATATCAATGATTAACAGAATATTTTGTACTTGTATAAGTAAACAGTATGTTATAAACAAAATATTTAAAAAACAATACAATATTGTAATATTATAAATATATTATAAATCAACAGTGTGGAAATAAAGTAACTTTTTTTATCCTAAGTAACAGAGATAAATCAAACTCAAAAGGGAACCACGAGCAAAGAAAACAAAAAAAAGTTGAGAAACACTGCTCTAGATGAACGAGTTTTAACACATTTGCCCACACTGTTCGTTAAGTCTGACTTCACAGTTTGCTACTCTGTCTAGGCGTTATCTAACATACCGGCCTAGTCGTGGGAGACTCTAAGACAAAATCTTGTTTATAAAACGATTCAAAGCTAGTGGATCAGTTTTTGATACTTATTAACATTATGTTAAAATAAAATCCCATTTACCATCTTCTCGAGTCCTTTCGGTAACAGGGTCTGAACGAGGTCCTGCACCTTTATCGTTGAAGGCTTGAATAACTATTGTGTAAAAATTGAATTTCTCCAATCCTTGAAGCACACATTCAATTCGAATATCGTCTTTGGATTTGGCTTCTACAGTCTTGTACTGATATGATTCAGAGGAATTAGTCTTTTTATATCCCACGTAATAACCACGAATTACTCCGTTTCGAACACTTTCATTTGGTGGCTCACCGGTGTTCCAATTTCAGACTGTCTCTGTAGAATACTATTTCTTGAAGTGTGATTGATTTATTTTCATTCATTTTGGTAGAACGTATTACTGTTATTTTTTTGAGCGTGTATTGATTTTTTTTCTTTGCAGTCTCTGCTCCTTTACAATATAAGCTTCAAACTTTTTTTCTGTGTGTATCGGTACCACTTTCAGCATCTATCCTCTTAACATCACGCCTTGCTGCGGCCATTATTGATCTATGTTCGTCCAAGTTTACCTTTACTTATCTTTTAGTTCTTTATGCGTATATGTTCTTGTCTACTACTTCATTTGCTATGAAAAGCTTTTAAATGAGTGTTTAGTAACTTCTATCAAGAAGTTTTATATTGCATTTGAAACAAAAACATCACGTTCTGTAGCTCAAAAATGCATGTTTTTGTTAAGCCTAACTTCTTCTAACGCAGTTCTATATTACGTGAGATTAAACACATCTGCTCACGTAGTTTGTTAAGCCTAACTCGCCGAAGGTGGTTCTGTGGTAAATACGCTTTAACCACGGAGGAAATAATCGTGAAGCTCAACTCTGATCTCTGGTTAAGCGTTTACAAACACATATTCAGCTCACATAGTTTGTTAAACCTAACTTTCCTGAAAGAGCTCTGGGTCAGTGTGTTTCAATACATCTACTCACATAATTTCTTAAGCCTAGCTTTGCCGAAGGTTGCTCTAGATCAATGGTTCTCAACGTGGGCCATATGGTTCCCCAGGGAGCCATGTTTCTAAGGGGCCACCGAAACATCACTGCCAGAATAAAATATTTCAACATCCCAAGCTATATTCAAACGTGATAAGCATTATTGCTGGATAAGTAGTGAAATAGCTAATAAGTTTCCACAGCTCTGGGAGAAGGCAAAGTTGTATTTTGTCGCTTTTCCCACATCTTATCTGGTTGAATCTGGTTTTAGTCGGGTGACTTATTTGCTATCAAAAAGACGTAACCGCCTTGGTGTTCTTCGCTTATCATTGACCACACTGCAACCGGACATTCAAAATTTTTCAAATGCTCATCAGGCCCCAAGGATCGAAATAACACTATTGTACAGAGACAGTGTGAAATTGGAACACCGGTGTATAACACTATTGTACAGAGACAGTCTGAAATTGGAACATTGGTGCATAACACTATTCTACAGAAACAGTCTGAAATTGGAACACCGGTACATTACACTATTGTACAGAGACAGTCTGAAATTGGAACATTGGTGCATAACACTATTCTACAGAGACAGTATGAAATTGGAACACCGGTGCATTACACTAATGTACAGAG